GAGGCCCTGTCTCACAAAAACAAAAGCATGAAGTCAGGGTGGAAGGTTGTAGGGAGGGGTGGAGATGGGGAGGGGGTCTGAATATGATCAAAATGCATTGTATGAAATTCTCAAAGAATCAATAAAAATATATTTTTTAATTGGTTTCTTCTTTGACCATGTAGGTCCCAGGGATTGAACTCAGGTCATCAGGCTTGGTGGCAGGCATCCTGCCTGGTGAACCATTTCATTGGCTCCTGTTATTGATTTCTAATTTCATTCCATTGTATTCAGAGAATATAGTTTGCCTGTTTACTATCTTCTTAAAATTTATATTTATTGTGCAAAGACTATTCCATGTGTATTTGAGAAAAATGTTCATTCCACTCTTGTGGAAAATGTTTTAGTAGGTCCAACCACCTTGTCATATTACTCCATCATGATCCTCTGCCTAGTTATTCTAGTATTGAAAGGCGATATTGAAGTCACCAACTATTATTGAAAATGCGATCATATTTCACTCTTAGGTTTTATAATATTTTGTGTGTGTGTGCGGTATATGCGTGTGTGTGTGTGTGTGTGTACCTGTAGAGAGGCGAGAGCTTGATGTCAGACATCCTACTCTATCACTCTCCACCTTATTTTTGAGATAGGGTCTCTCTTACTGAACCTGGGGCTTGCCATTTCAGCTAGACTGGCTGGCCAGTGAGCTCTGGGGATCTTCCTGGCGACACTACTGGCTTCTGTGTGGGTGATGAAGATCTTAACTCAGGTCCTCATGCTTAAGCAGTGTTATAAGTAGCTTAAAGAGCTGTCAACTTGATACAATCCAGAGTCAACCTGGGAAGAGGGAACCTCAACCAAGGAATTTCCTAGATCAGAGTGGCCTGTAGCCATGTCTATGAAGTGTTTTCTTAATTTCAAATTGATGTAGGAGGGCCCAGCACACTGTAGGCAGTGCCATCTCTGGGCAGGTGGGCCTGAGCTGTGTAAGAAAGGCAGCTGAGCAAACTAGTAAGAAGCATTTCTGTTTTCTGTGATTTCTGCTTTAAGCTCCTGCCTTGAGTTCATGCCTTAGCTTCCCTTGATGATGGACTTGCAGACAAAACAAACCCTTTCCTCTTCAAGTTGTTGTTGTTGTTGTTGTTGTTTTTATCAAAGTGTTTAATCACAAGTTTCTGCTTTAAGCACCTGCCTTAGCTTCCCTTGATGATGGACTTGCAGACAAAACAAACCCTTTCCTCTTCAAGTTGTTGTTGTTGTTGTTGTTGTTTTTATCAAAGTGTTTAATCACAACAGAAAAGCCAGGAGAGAAATTGGTATCAGGAGTGGGGGTCTTGCTGTGAAAGACCTGACCAGGTTGTTTTGCGGGGAGGAGTGTGGTGACATTTGGAATCTTGGGGCTGGAGAAGCCATTGACTACTCAGAGTTGAATGAGCTCTTATGATTAGCTTGAAAGCTAAGATGTGAAGAGAAACAGTGGAGGCCTGCTCATACATTTTCCAAGAGAAGCAAAGACTATCAGGGTTGTTTGTGTGATGTTTTGGATTAAGAATCTGTAGGAAGTGGGGATGGAGAGATGACTCAGTGGTAAAGACCACTGGCTGCTCTTGTAGATGACCCACGTTTGAGTCCTAGCACCCACATGGGGGCTAACAACCATCCATAACTCCAGTTCTAGGGAATCCAACACCCTCTCTTGCCCCCATGGGCATTGCCTGCATAGGTGCACTTACATACAGGTAGGCAAACACTCAAAGTAAAAATAAGTTTTTTTAAAAATTGAAAAAAAGAATCTGTGGAAGTCAAACTTTTGCTTTACTGGGACAGTTGATGCTGGTTGGCCAAGGCTGAAAAAAGTCAGCTGTGATTAGTAAGAGACCAGCATCACTGAGTATGGGGCGGGTCGCTTGACCCCCGGCGTGGTGTGAAGGGGCTTCGACTTTTGCATAACAGAGGTCTCCCAACAACTGAGGTGAAGTCTGAAAAGTATTTCCTCAGGAACAGCACACAGAAGCTGTGGCCCAGGAGGGGTCAAGGCTGCATCTCCAGCGGACACCTGAAGTTGATAATGTACAAATTTCCCATGTGGGACTAGTTTTGGCAGGTGAAAGCTGCAGGATTGAAGGGATCATGGAGAGCAGCTGAGATCTGGCACCATGTGGCAGGGTCGGGGTTCCTGAAGATGTCAGGAGACCATTGGTAAAGATTCAGCCTCAGCTGCAGAAGAGACCTCAGGATATTATAGCTGTCAGGACCTTGGGACATCCACCAATGACAGCAGGAGATGTGGAGTGAATTGAGTCTGAGCCTACCAGACAAGCTGTGTCTGCTATGGATGGCAGAGGTGGAGCAGTGGGGCTACTCAAGTCTTTTGTAATCCAGAAGAGTGTGAGTCCCAAACTTTGGAATAAGAAAGTATGTAACTTATATTGGATTTTACAGGAGCCGACAGTTAAGAGAATTTGGATTTTTAAAAAGAACTTGGACATTTAAATCTAGAATATTTTTTAAATTGTGGGACTTCTAAATGCTGAACTGTGTTTTATGCTGATAGTCACATAAGTGAAAGAGTATGGCTTAAAGAGATGTTTGTGTGTCAAAGTGACAAAGGTTCAAGTGTCATAGCTTCAGCTGTCAAATTGACACAACGCTGAGTCACATGGGAAGGAGGAACCTCAATTGAGGAACTTTTTAGAACAGATTGGCCTGAGGCCATGTCTGTGAGGCATTTTCTTAATGCTAATTGCTGTAGAAGGGCCCAGTCCACTGTGGGTGATGCCATCCCTCGGCAGTGGGCCTGGGCTGTATCAGAACAGCAGCTGGGCAATCCACTTAGCGTAAGTCTTCCATAGTTTCTGCTTCAAGCTCCTGCCTTGTGTTCCTGCCTTGACTTCCCTCGATGATAGATTGTAACCTGTAAGACAAAATAAACCCTTTCCTCCCCAAGTTGTTTTTGATCAGAGTTTTTATCACAGCAACAGAAAACAGTAGGACAAGAAGCCAGCATTTTCTCACTGAGCCATCTCCCCAAACATTTATATTCTTTCTGGAAACTCCCATCTGTTCCTCTATCAGGCTCTTTGCTATCCCCCCCATCTCCTACATCAGCCATGATGAGTGTTCCAGTTCTTTATTAGGCAAAGGAACAGAGTTGTTTCTTAGTGTCTTCCCTAAGGTATGAGATTCAGAAGGCTGAGCCACCCAGACCCTGTGGGATGAGCTGCCTCTGGGGTCACTTGTACTTCTGCAGAAAATCACAGATCCTCTCCTTGATCATTGGATCCAACGTTGAACAGTCCCAATCTGGTAACTTCACCAGCCGGTCGTGGGCTTCCCAGAAGAGGCCAGAGCCGATGGCTAGCTCCACCCGCATGCGCCACTCAGCCAGCTTGGAGCTCATGAAGACATCGTGATTGCCCCCGATAGGCTATGGATAGACAAAAAGGGAAATGTGTCAGCATAGGGAGCAGCCCCACTTGGGTTTTCTAGAGCTTCAAGGGCTGTCTCTATCTGCCTCTGCAAAAAGGAGTCATCTGCTGACCTCTGGATGAGTCATCTGCTGGGCAAGGGGTCACAAGGGTTTGAGGTGGCTCCCACTTCTTCAGGGGTCTTGCCTTCTTCCAGGGAAGTCCCTTACTCCCAAAGAGGCAGAGATCAATTATTTCCCCCTCATTATTTCCCTCCTTCTGTGATCCTGCTGAAGGAGGAAGCCTAGCAGGAAGCCTGCCAAGCAGTTCAGCTGCCTGATTAAGAAATGTGCACCCGGTGCTGGAGGGATGACTCTGGTTAAGAGACCTACCAGGGTGCTCTTACAGAGGACCCCAGTTCAGTTCCCAGGACCCACACAGTGGCTCCCAGCTCTCCATAACTCCAGTTCCAGAGGATCTGACACCATTTTCTAGCCTCCATAGACACTGCATGCAAGGGAACACTTACATGTGTACATGCAGGCAAAACACTCATACACATGAAATAAAAATAAAATTTAAAAAGAGAAACGTGCACTGACAGTGCTCAGAGGCCCCAAGGGGAGTGAGGGCAATGAAGCACAAGAAACACGAAGGGTCAGAGCAGAGGGCTCGATACGTGGGACAGGCCAGAGGGTTTTCATGGTGCTGGTTGCACTGCACATGGCCAAGGACTAAAGTAGCTACTCTGCATACCGGCCAGAGACCATTCTAGACTGCTGAGACACTGACCAGTGAGCTGAAGATGTAGCTCAGTTGGTAGAGCGCTTAACTAGCATGCACAAAGCCCTGTGTTCACTCCTCAGCAGCATACAGCAGGCATCCGGTGCACACCTGTAATCCCAGCATTCGGGAGGTGAGCGCAAGAGGATAGAAAGTTCAAGATCATCCTCAGCTAAATAGCTAGTTTGAGCCCAGCCTGGGCTACATGAGATCCTGTCTTAAAAAAGAAAAAGAAAAAAGGGGGGCTAGAGGGATGGCCCAGCAGTTAAGAGCACTGATTGCTCTTGCAGAAGACCTGGGTTCAATTGCCAACACCCACATGGCAGCTAACAACTGTTTGTAACTCCAGTTCCAGGGAATCTAATGCCTTCTAACCTCTGCAGGCACTGCACGGCACGGGTTCACCTCCACACATGAAAGTAATACACTCATATACATAAAATAAAAATAAATAAAATTTGAAAGAAAAGAAAAAAGGGACACTGGTCTTTTGTGTTGAAACTGGCCATCCTACCCACACCAGCTACCTCAGAACTGGCCACTCACATAAACACATATAAAGGCTATAAAAAGTCAGCAACCAGGTGTGCCTCCACTGCACAGTGGACACCATTCAGGTCCAGAGTCAGGAGAACTGTCCTATACTACTATATCTGGAGCTCTGGAAAAGAGGCAGGCCAGAAGGCTCACCAGAAGCCCCTGAACATTCCCTGGAGAGCCCAGTGGGAGGAGGCGGCATCTGGGAGCTCAGCAGGTGTACCATGAAGTACCAACCTCTTCTTTCTCTGCATCCTTGCCTCACCCTCTAGCTCCTCTGTGCACCCTGGAACCCTTGCCAAGTTCCATGATCATGATTCTTCTCGATTCAAAACTGTGCTTCCTTCCTGTTGCTCCAGGTGGGCTGAGGCAGCCAGACCTGTCTCCCCCAACCCTCGGGGTGGTCCTGCCTGCCTTGCCTAGTCTATGCCCCAGATATGGGCTCCCTCGTCACAGAAACATCCTACCTCTGCCCAGGCGTGCTGCCCCCTCTACTCCACACCTGCATCATCTCCACCAGGGCCACCAAGTCAGCCAGTGAGATGTGGTCTCCGGTGATGAACATCTTGTCTTCCAGAAACTTCTCCTCAAATTGCTGCAGGTTTTTCTTCGCCTCTTCTAGGACCTGGTCTGTCTTCTCAGGAGGGACCTCCTCACCGGTGATCATTGGGATTAGCAACTGGTGGGGTCGGGAAGAGGAGGGAAATAGAGGCAGCACCCCAGTCCCACCTCCACCCAAGGCGTCTGTATCCTGGTCTGTTCAAGAGAGCTTGGCCAGCACCGTAGATGTAGTATTACTCTTTCGGCAATTCCAATGGTAGAAGTTGCCAAGGACCGTGTCAGAAGGATTTTGAGACCTCAGTAAGAACACATCCTGTGGTTTGAGTATGTCTCGTCTCATTAAAGGTTCATGTGTTGGAAGCTTGGTTCGCCATGTGGTGATACTCGGGGGCTAGAATCTTTACAACATGAGTCTAATAGGTCACTGGGGCACTGCCTGCAGAAGGGATCAAGCTAGTTTTTGTTAGACATGGAGTTAGTCTTAGAGGAGCAAGTTGCTATGAAAGAGCAAGCCTGGGGACTCCCTGCTCTGGCCTCCTGTCTGACCAAGCAATTCTTCTTGCATTTGCTCCTACGGTAATGGCATCTGTTCTGAGGCCCTCTCCAGAGCTGATGCTGCGCTTTTTAGACTCCTGTTTCCAAAACTATGAGCTAAATAAACTTCTCTTCTTCATAAGTTAGCCTCAGGTATTTCATTGGCGCGATATTGAAAATGAGTTAAAACACAGACATAGAATTACAAATAGGGACATGTGTGCTGGGTATTTGTCATCTCTAAATTTGCTGATCTCTGTGAATCCTTTGATTCTGATATTCTCTAGTTCAGAATGAAATTTCTGGAGTCCAATCTTGGTTCGAGTCATATCAGCTCTTCTTGGGTGCCTGTTCGCTTGTCATAATAGTCTCCTACCTAACAGTTTATTTTACACTTCCAGTAGCTCTATAAGGCAATGGAAGAGGGAGCAGGGGGGAATGAGGCTGAGAGAGAGAGAGAGAGAGAGAGAGAGAGAGAGAGAGAGAGAGAGAGAGAGAGAGAGAGAGAGAGAGAGAGAGAGAGAGACAGAGAGAGAGAGAGAGACAGAGACAGAGAGACAGAGAGAGAGACAGAGACAGAGAGAGACAGAGAGAGACAGAGAGACAGAGACAGAAAGAGAGAGACAGAGAGAGAGACAGAGACACAGAGCGAGAGACAGAGAGAGACAGAGAGAGAGGTGCTAAGTTCCCAGTGGGCAGTAAGCGGGACCCGGACTGGACCCCGGGCTTTCTAACGGCTGTGTTCTCCTGCCCTGAGCCCCAGACATGGCACTGCTCACCTTGATCCAGAGTATCTTGCTCATGGGCAGCTGAATGGCGGTGTGCTGCCAGGCCATGAACTCATCCACACGGGCGCGCCTGTGCAGGTCTGGCGGGTACCAGTGGGAAGGCGCGCTGTACTTGCGGCACAGGTAGAAGAGGATGGCCACACTACAGAAAGGGCAAGTCAGGGCTCTGCTCTTACCTTTTAAAGGCATTGACGCTCACCACCCCGACACGGCCTGGGCTGAGCTGCTGGGGCCTCTAGCCACAGGCAGGCCCTAGCTGCTGAAATTCTTCCAAGGGTAGGAGGAAGAGCCCAAAAGGTCTTTGGAAAGCCTTCCCTTAAGTTATCCTGCCAGGTCAATAATCAGCAAACACAGGGAGGGAGGCCTGAAGGGTCAGCAGGAGTTGGTGGCTGCACCCAGACAGGCAGCAGCATGTGTGGAGATCCCCGTGAGGAATGAGGTGAATCTGGACTGTGGTGGCAGGTGGGGGTGACTGCAGAGAGGATGGGGTGACCAGAGTGGGAGGAGACAGTCAAGGATGCTGTGTAGATCAGTATGGAAGACCTTAGAGGTACGGGGAAGAGTTTGTGCTTAATGTTTAAGATTCTGAGGAATGACAGGATTCATCCCTGCAGATGAAAGAGGAAGGTTCAAGCCCAGAGAAGTCAAGATGGTGGCTTTAGCAATAACCAAGGAAAGGGTATTGTTCTCTCAGGATGGGGTATGGGAGAGGATGTGGGGATCAAAGGCCTCCGGGTACAGGGAAGGGGGTCAGATCGAAGACATGCTTTGGTGGGAGGGATAGCCCAGGCTGCTGTTGGAAACGCCGTAGGACAGAAGACCCTGTGTTCAGTAGCCCAGCCATTGGCATGCAGAGATAGAGGTCAACAGAAACGAAACTGCAAAGTGATAGGGGGCAAGAGGCTTCGAATGCCCCCACTAAAACTCTGACAGTGAATCCCCATTGTGAGGCTTCATGAGGTGGGACTGCTAAGGGTGATAGGGTCATGAGAACAGATTGACCCATGTGTGGATAAAACGATTCATACGTTACCTAGTTATCACAGGGGTGGCTTTGTTGTAAAACCACGGTCTCTCTGACTCACTCGCTCTATCCCATGATGCTCTGTGCCCTGCCATGACCCAGAGGGAGGGCCCTTTCCAGCTGCTAAATGGGTGCCAGCTCCAGTCCTGGACTTTCTAGCCTCCAGAACCTTGAGCTTTCAATCTCTGATCTTTATAATTTATTTAAAGATTTGTCCATTTTTATTTTATACGAGCAAGTGCCTGCATACATGTATGTGCACCACATGTGTGTCTCATGCCTGTGGAGGCCAGAAGAGAGTGTCAGGTCTCCTGGAACTGGAGTTACAAGTGGCTGCAGTAAGTGTCCTTAACGGCTGAGCATTCAGTGACTAAGACAAGGAGACACAGGAAGAAAGATGTGAGAGACGGTGCAAGCAGCTGCAATACTCACAGGTGTTTGGGACCCTGATTCAAACAAAGTGCCAAGAAAATACCCATGAGGTGATTAGAGACTTTTGAAGATGAGCTAGCTATTGGATGGAATCTGAAAATGTTATTGGCTGTCACAATAGTATTGGGTGATTTATCTTTTTTAAAAATATTTTATTATTTTTATTTTATGTGTATGAGTGTATTGCCTGCATGTACGTAAGTGCACCCGTGTCATGCGGTGCTCGTGGAGGACAGAAGAGGCCGTTGGCTCCCCTGGAACTGGAGTTACGGACAGTTGTTAGCTGCCATGTGAGTGCTGGGATTCGAACCTGGGTCTTCTGCGAGAACAACCAAAGTTCTTAACCAATGAGCCTTCTCTCCAGCCCCATGATATATCTTTCAGAGAGTCTTTGTTAGTGGTGTATTCCTAAACATTAACAGGTGACGTGATGGGCTGTGGCTTCAGGCCTAGAGGATGAGGGCTGGAGACTTCCGGCTTCTGAGAGCCACAGGGCCGCCTTGGTCCAGGGGAAAGGAGTTACAGGGCTGGGGTGGGAGGATCTAGCTGGAAGAGGAACACAGTGGGGTGCAAACAGTGCAGCTAGCTGAACAGATGAACACATCGGAACAGCTGTCGAAGCTGGGAGATGGACGCGTGGGGTTCATTAAATTCTTTTTTATATTTCTTCTCCATCAGTGCATATGTGAAATTTTCCATGGTTTTAAAAAGTAAATAATTAAACACTAGCCAGTCCGGTCCCACTGAATAAATAAATAAACACTGGCCAGTCTGTTCCCACTGAGTAACTAAAGAAACACTGATCAGTCCATTCCCACCCCGAGTCTCCCAGGAGGAGCAGAGGTTGATGGCAGTAGGGCCTTTACCTTTCAGATAAGATGAACTTTCCATCTCTGAGGCTGGGAAGCTTCCTCAGGGGGTTGATCTTGATGTATTCCTTGCTATGGTGGTGACCTGAGAGGGACAGGGAGGGTCTGGGGTTTTGGGGACCCCAGGAAAAAGAGAACTGGGGCTCCTAGAAACAAAAGTGCCTTCCTCTGTTTCACCCAGAAAGAGATTCTCCCACCCCAGTCCCTGGAACTCCTTTCCCCAGGACCAAGGCATCCCTGTGACTCTCAGAACCTGGAAGTCTCCAGCCCTCATCCTCCAGGCCTGAAGCCACAGCCTGTGAATCAACCTCAGCCCTAGGGGCCTGGATGCCCACTTCACTCATCACTCTGCCCCCCACTTTAAGGAGATTGGGAAGCTGAAGCAAGAGCCCAGAACATAGCTTGGAAGTCAAAGGGGAGACTGTAAGTGACCTGAGTCCCTTGCTGTCTACAGAGAGCTCCAGAGTGGCAGGAGTTCTAACTCTTCCTGATCAACTCTTCTGAGTGGAAACACTTCTGGGGACTCCACCACACCTGAATAGTTATGGCTCCCACTTCTCCTCTACAGTCTAGAGGCCTCTGTCTCTGCCAGATGAGCTTATAGAGACTCTTTTGTGGCTTGGACCCTCACATGGGGAATGGGGTCCCTGAGACCTTCCACACTGTTGCTTTTTGTGTCCCTTTTTCCTTCTTTCTTTTCCTCCTTCTCCTCTTCCTTCCTCTTTCTCTCTCTGTGTATATGTGGTCGGGATCTCACCTAGAGCCTTGCTCATGGCACGGCTAAGCAAGTGCTCTCTTATTGAGCTGTGCCTCTAGGCCCTAGAGAAAGTTTGAACACTGGAGGAAGTGGGTACAGACTAGGGAGGGTGGGTACAGACTGGGAAGTGGGTACAGACTGAGGAGGGTCGGTACAGACTGGGGAGAGTGGGTACAGACTGGGAAGGGGGGTATAGACTGAGGAGCGTGTTAAAGACTGGGGAAGGTGGGTATAGACTGGGCTGGGAGGGTACTGACTGGGGAGGGTGAGCACAGAGTGAATAACATCTGCCCTCTCACATGGGGGCAGGGCTGTGACCATCACCAACCTGGTTGGTAGGTACCACGGATAATAGGATACATGACTCCCGAAGGTAATGGCCAACGCCCTGACTGAGAGCCTGAGAATCCTCTGGTACCCCTCGTCCCCCTTTACCCACTAAGATCCTGTGGGCCCCAATGGGGGGATTGACTGTCGTTCGTGGCCACTGGCTAAGCCTAGATAGGGACATGGCTCGAAGTACCTTGACATCTCTGTCGCCTGTGTTTCCTGAAGACCTTTGTGAGGTTACCTTGGTCTCTTTCTCTGAGCCTCAGAATCCCCTTAGCTGTGTGCCCTGGCAACACCACAGGACCAGCCTTCCTGGGCAGCAGTGGAGACTGACTGACCTTTCAGGAGATCGACGAATTGGAAGTCAAAAGGGATGCCATTCTTCCTGGCGAAGATGTAGACAGCACGGCATGGTGCTGACAATAGGTCCATGTAGAGCTCTAGGCCCATGGCTGAGATGCTTGCTGGGCCCCACAGCCGTGGTGGGCCAGCTACAGACCTGAACCTGTGTCCAGCACAAGCACCTGGCTCTGGGCCCTGTCCAACCTGAACTTAGCACCTCGAATTCTGGAACTTCTTATTTCCCTCAGTGTTCTCATGAGGCCAAGAAGCCTGGAATTCTCACAACAGCAAGAATTCTGAGGAGACCTAGCACAGTGAGGGGCCCCGAAAGGGCTGTGTGTGTGTGTGTGTGTGTGTGTGTGTGTGTGTGTGTGTGTGT